GTCTCCAGTGTTCCACCTTTGAACCCTTTGGTCAGGATGCTCTGGCCCTGATAGACTTCCTCCTTTATGATTTTCCCCAGCATCCTTAATCCCAAGCTCAGAAAATGCTGGTCTGGCTGTACTGGGAAGAAAATGCTGAGGGGCTGGAGGAGGGTGGAGTCCTTAGGGATGTGGGCTTTGGAGTCCAGCAGACCCAGGTAGAACGCCGGGGCCCATGCTCGCTGAGCCTTGCTATGTGACAGGTGCCGTTCTAGGAACTTTGTGGGATGTAACTCATTTGGCCCTTGCGGTGATCCTGTGGAGTAAGTTCCCTTATTATCCCCACATTCTGACTGAGGAAATGGAGGTGGGAAGGAGCAAAATGTTTGCTCAGGTTATTGCTCACGACAGCTATGAAGCAGCTATGGAGGTTCAGACCCAGGTAAGCTGCCTCCAGGCTTCTTGCACTCAGCGCGATGCTGGGGTCAGTGTCCTTGCATACTGAAAGCAGAGGTATCACTGTGGTTCAGGCTAAATGTAGAAACACACGTTATTGACCTTGGTGCCTGGCGCCTAGCAAGTGCTCAGTAAGCTTGAACTGGAAAAAAAGTCAGGCTCCACCCTAGGAGGAATCTGTTTCTTATGCCTTATTATTTTATTTTACTTTTTATTTTTGGTAAGTAATTGCTTTTCTGCTCACAGGGAAGAAACCCTAGGAAAGAATGGAAAAAGTAGATGGGAGGCAGCTGAATTCTAGGCCTCTGAGCCTCACGGGAACCTAGGTGCTCAGAAATGAGAATCAGAATTTTCATTTTTTTTCACATCTGGGGAACTATAAACCATGTTCTTTTAAATTTGTCTTTCTCCTGCTTTTCTCTTCTTTCTTGTGCTTTTCAAATTAAGTGGGCAAACTTAGTGTGCCAGATTATGGTGCAGGAAAAGTATCCCTCTGTGATTCGGGCCTGTGTGTCTCTGATGCCTTGATACTTTTTACTCTCGACTTCTGAGGATAATCGTTGATAAGATGAACCTCCTGTGCCCTGGGGAGGAGAAAGTCATTGAGTTCTGTCTCATCCTTGTCTCCTTGAATCAAACTCCATGTCTAACCCATAGCAGGTTTCCAAAGAATTAACTAGTGGGGTTTCTGCTCTCAGTTTTCTTTCCTTTTTTTCTGGTGAGGGGGAGAGGTCTGTTTCGTGGGGAAGTGTCTGCCAAGTTCCACTGGAAATGGCATCATCAAGACAGAGGTGTGAAGACCCCTTCCTCTCAGTTCAGCTGAGGCAAGGGTAGGTTGTTCAAACTTGGTTTCCTTGTACACCAAGTACAAGCAGAATGGATTAGATGGGGAGTGTGGAAGTGGCCTTGGCCCCCTTTCCTCACCTCCTCCTGTTCTCTGTCACCTTAGGACAAAGGTTCTCAGGTGACCAGCCTGGATGGGCAGGTTCCCAGGGCTTTCTGAATTCTCTGTCACCCTGACCCCAGCCTACTTCCTGATGTGCCCTGCTGGGGACTCCCTCCTACCATTCCTTCTCAGGCTTCAGGCCATCCATGGTGACCTTGGCAGTGGTTATTGTTCATTTTAGAATCTTTGGGACTTGTTTTTGAATAGGACTCTATTCATGTGGTTCCAACCGTTAAACCTCTAACAAGGTACACAGTGGATAATCTCTCACCCGCTTCCCAGAAACCCAGTTCCCATAACCTCCTCCTCCAAGATAAGTATGGTAACAGTAGCTGATAATTCCAGAGTTTCTTCCTGCCCTTGTAAGGAGCTCATCTGGAAACACAGCTGACAACATGGGTCCCTATATATGAGGTCCCCAGCCTAGACTTGGGGTCTGATGGGGTGGGATATCTGTTGGCCAGCATCTCCCTCTAACTTCAGGAAATACCGTTTGCTAAAGTGTTGCCGTGTTTAAATTTCAGTGACAGCTTCAACCTTCTCCAATTCCTTGCCTGGGGGCACCGAGAGGACACGGGATCCAGTGCTTTTATATGCGATTTTTAAAAACACATGTGTTTTTTGTGTTAAAAAAAATCAAAGTGTCATCTATTTTGGTTTGAAGGGCCTACTGGAAACCAAATTATACAGCTCATCCAGACTCAAACAGCAGGTTGTCAGAGCAGAATTAACCAATGAATTTCCAGGTATTATGTAAATAAAAATACGTATTCCTGTTTTTATCCTCTATTTCCACAAGGCCCCTTGGTATACGCACTATTCTACATCTTATTGTCTTTATGCTTAATATAACTTACATATTTTCATATTGTTGCTTACAGTACTTCTTTTTTTTAACAATTTCAAAGAATTGCAAAGAATGTGTGTATGGATGAACCATGATTTTTAAATTAGCTCTTTACTTGATTCCTATTTGGCTACAGTGAAAACTGTACATATATGCGGTGACCCTGCCTCATAACCTGCTCAGACAGAAGATACGGTTTTGTAAGGGACAGAGAAACAGGGCATACTGATTTGCCACCCAGGAAAGTCAAGTCTTGACATAGGTTCCCAGATGGGTCTTTTCTGCTCAGGTAACTCTATCCATCACTCTGGAGAGGGTCTTGAACTCAGGGCTGGTTAATAGGATGAGCATGTGGTTCTACTGTAGTCCACTACATTTCAAGTGTCTAAAGCAGGTTCCCACCTCTGTGTCTGGCTCTGGAGTAGTAAAGAAGTAATTGTCACAGTATCCGGATGGCAGAGAAGTTCTCTTCCCATTCCACTGTGTTCTCGTCCACCATCCCTTCGCCCCTGGGACGGCTGATTCTAGCTCCAGGGCCCTTTGACTAAGTCTGTCTTGGCAGTTGTATCAAATCCATTCTTGACTTCTTTCCTGAATCAGCTGATGTGACCTACAGCTTGGCCTTCCTGTCGTGCTCTGTGGCTTGCTGCAGCCCTGGCAACCGTGAGTGGGTGCTGCACCCACACATCCCCCCATAGGGAGCAGCTTCTTCTGCTCTCCCTGGAGGGAGCCAGGGAGGCTGCTGGGGATCTTCAACTGGGTGGCATCACACACTCCCTGAGTACCACCGTACATGTCCCAGGGCAGCTGTCACTTATGAAGCCATGTCCAGCTCCAAGTCACAATCATCATGCCAGCCAAGATCCTGCCGCCCTGTTGCTCCAAAAAGTGCCCTGATTCTGGATCTTGAAGGTTTCTCCTTCTCCTCGACCGCCTTCTCTTTCCGTCTTCCCCACAGCATCAGGGGCACGGTGCTTTCTGAGCCCAGGTTCCAGGACCCCAGTTCCACAGTGTGCCCTTAGCATGGTGAGCGCCCAAGCCAACCTTGTAAACCTCCACGGCAAGGGGCCATTACCAGGACTTRTTTTTCTACTTTTTCATGAGCTTGGCTTCTTTGTGGTTTTGAGACTTCCCAGTAGCCACCAAGGCTTTGTTAGGAGGTGTTTCTCTCTCCTGTGGTCAGAAGCAGACTCCTTATCCCTTCTTCCTCCCTCTATGTGGGGCTGTTTCCTAGGGTGCTGTTTCCTGTCCTAGCCTCAGCCTGGAAGACCAGCAGGGACCCACCTTCTTTTAGCGCAGTGACTTTGGATGAAGATTTCCCCATCCCTGACCAGATCCGGGAGAACCCCTGGGGTGTGTCAAGAGGGTATCCCTCTAGGGACATGCCATTAACTTGAATCTCAAAATGTTCCATCTACCATGGGACATATTTTCTGCTGAGGCAAAAGGAAGATATTTTTCTTGTTCAACACGTGTTTGTATCTTTCCGGGGCTCACTCTGAAATTTTAGATCATGAGTGTTTCTCTCTTTTCTCAGTATTCTTTTGCTTGTTTTCTGCACATAACAACGTCTGGCTGTAACAACCTCCCATTCCGCCTTCAGTGACATGTGCCAGCATGTTTTGGGGAGTTAGTTCATACTCAGGGTTGTCAGAAGTTTGAACATTTGCTCTTCAAGACCCAGAGCTGGTGGGGTGAGCAAAGGAGATCATTTGAAGTCGTGATGATGTTATTCCCACAAGAACACATTGGACCTTGGGAACCAGTTATTCTTGTTTTTAGCTGCTTCATCTTCTCTGGATTGATGTGTCGACACAACAGTAGGGATGGTCCCTTTATTTGTCATAGGGAAATRAGATCGGATGCCAAACTCCCAATTTTTTATTTTCATTTTTTAGCACTTAAGACTTTGAAAATACCTTGTGAGTATATTTATTGAAATGCTATTTATCTCTACCCCTCTCCACACACCCATGAATAGAAACATAGAAACTCCACGGGGTCTTGTCTGTCTTGTTTACCTTTGTACTCCTGGTGCCATGATGTTATGTGGCAAATACAGGACAGCSCAGTAAATGTCTCGCCTGGGTCAATAGAATCTCTCTGTTCTTTCCTTTGTGATCCGTTTTGAAAACGGCCTCAGACCCTCTGTGATCAGTGGTGAGACTGCCCGAACCATGGTGCCCAGTTGAATGTCAAGTCTGGGCATCTTTGGAGGAGAGACAGATGGGGTTATGGGAAAAGATGTTGCAGAAGGTCTGGGCTCCAGTTTTGGCTCTGCCCCTATTTGGGGCACGTCTGTGAGGCCCAATTTCTTTATGGGTACATTAATTACACCCTCCCACATACACACCAAATCCTCAGTTGAAGAATGTGTGAAAAGCGCTTCTTACACTCTGAAGGGCTCTATAAACGTGGAAGGTTGCAAAATGCTGTGTCTGTCTTCTTGCTTTTTTCTTTTTTCTTTTTTTCACCAAAGTCGGGTGTCCTGGCCTGCCCCAGCCGGCTCTGTTAGAATTGGGATTTCCTGCAGCCGCCCTCTGCTGACGGTCACCCTTACAGAGCAAACTAAGGAGCAAATCTCCTTCTAGGATTTCACAGCTGTGATGACCTTGGGGGTGGAAGGCATTACTAGGACCCAGGAAAGTACCCTCCCTGCTCAGGCTCAGCCCTTATGTCACTGGTGAGCACATTGTCATGGCCCTGCATTGAGAACTGGTCACTATGAGCTGTGTCACCGAGGCCTGCTTGACCGTGTTTCTCTCTCCCCAGGCGCCTGCTGAAGAGTGAACTTGGGTCGTTCATTACAGACTATTTCCAGGTAAGCTGAGTGCATCGGAGAATCCATCACTGTCACACATGTGGGGCCCTGTAGCTGAAAGGCCATGTTCTATACACCTGGGTGTTCTTCAACACCCACACCCACATACACACCGCGCCATGCAGGGCTGCTGCTGCGAGGGCACCAGGTGACCCCTGCAGGTAATGGAGACTCCAGCCACCCCCCTGCAGTTGTGCTCTGGCTATTTGGTCCCAGAACTCCTTTATGCTCTTAGAAATTGCTGCTTATTCAGGTTGTATCTGTCAATCTTTACCATACTAGAAATTAAGCCCAAGAAGCTTTAAAAAATATGTCTTAATTCATTGAAACCGATTACATTGTCATATAAATATCACTTTTATGAAAAATAGCTTTTTCAGAATTAAAAAATAGTGAGAGGATGGACACCGTCTTCTGTGTTGGAAAATCTCAGTGCCATCTGGCTTCCTGGAAGATGGATGGATTCTCCTGTCTGCTTCCCCTTCAGTCTGTTGGGATAGCGCAGGTCACGTGGTCTCTGGGAAACTCCACTGTGCATGCAGGGAGATGCAAAGGTAGCTAATAGCTGTGACCATGTGGGTCCCTTGAAAGGGTCTAGAGGAGCCCCCCAGGGTCTCCAACCACACCCTGAGAATCCCTGCTCTCAGGGTATCCCCTCCCACTCCTGTGGGTGACAGCTAGTTGGGTGTAAGAGCACGTGCCCTTTAGCCAGCCATTTCCTGTCACAGGCTCCTGGGCTGCTCTGTTGAAGGCAGGATTGGATTAGACGTCAATCTTCCCTCCTGCCTACACACTCTGGTGGGGCTAATGAGTTCAAGGTTCCAGATCCACTTAGAGGATCATTTTTAATCCACAGACACAAGCTGCTTTCATGAATAACCCAAGGCAAGTATGTGGGGGATGGTGGGCGGAGACGATGAACAACGGTGACTGAGTGGGTGACACTTTAGTGAAGTTGGAGTCCCCACCTCTCTCTGTGTGCTGAGTGGGCTGGAAAAGCTGCTTTATCTCTCTGTGCCCCAGTTTCCTCATCTGTGAAACAGGAATAAAATACAGCTTACCTTATAAGGTTACTGTATGGTTTGCATGCAATAACACACTTGAAGCGCTGGGCACCTAGCCTGTCAGGAGCTGAAGCTAGTGATCAAGATTATGGACCTTTGAGGCAGACTACATGAGTTCAGAGCCCAGCATAATTGTTCACTAGCTGTGTGGCCCTGAGCAGATTGCTTCACCTCTCTGTGTTTTAGTTTCCTTTTCTGTAAAAAAAAGGGGTAATAGGACCTAACCTTTAGGATTGTGATAAAGATTAATGATAAGTTATTTATAAAGTGCTTAGTTACTGCCAAAAAGCAGGAGAGAGAGTAATCATGTTTATTATATGAGTCCTCTGTGTGTGTGTGTATGTGTGGTGTGTGTGTGTATGTGTGTGTGTGTGTGTGTGTTTTGTGCCAGGGATTGAACTCAGGGGCACTTAACCACTGAGCCACACCCCCAATCCTTTTAAAAAATATTTTATTTAGAGACAGAGTCTTGTTGAGTTACTTAGGACCTCACTAAATTGCCGAGGCTGGCTTTGAACTCGTGATCCTCCTGCCTCAGTCTCCAAAGCTGTTGGGATTATGGGAGTGTGCCCCCGTGTCCAGGTTAACACCTTCTTTTTAGTGGAAAAATAAGAGCACTGCTTAAGGATCTTGGTTTCAGGTGGGTTCCAAGTGGARCATACTTTTTAAGACAGTTTAAAGACATTTCAAATTTTAAAAAACAGTGCAGTCTCCATTATATTATTTTTCTTTCCAAGATTCAGGAAGCTCAAACTTTTATGTACACTTCAAAAGAATGACAAATATCAGCCAAAAAAAATGCCTCCTCTAAATGGAGACCAAGCAGGACCCAACAGAAGCCTGGAATTTGATGGGGCCAGACTCCTGTGCAGGGGGAGAGAAGCATGAAGAGGAAGAACCAGACAGAGAATTGGTTGCAGATGTGAATCATTTTTGCCCTTGACCCGAAGGTCAGCCTTGGGCTCACTGCCTGCTGCCTCTGTGGACTGACTTCTCGTCCAGTTACAGAGAGTGGTTTTTCACAGTCTTGGAGGGGCCCTCTGGGCTGGGCTGCCTTCCTCCTTGACCTTTGAAGGAGACGGGTTTGGTGTGGTTTCAATCAGGTTTTAAATGTCAGCTCTCTTGGCGTTGGGGGCTACCCTAGGTCGGGTGGGGAGGGATGTTTGGGTGGGGACTTTATCTGGGAAGCCCTGAGGTTTTTGGGGGCGGTTAATACTGCTTACAAAGCATGCCAGGCATTGAAAAACTAATAACCACTTGTGACTTCCTATCAGGGGCTTAATCAGAGAGGCTGCTTGGCCAATATCTACGGAATCTCTTTCTGGGTGTGGGGGTTGGGGGCTGGGTTTAGTAGGGTTATTTTTTTTTTAATTATTATTTTGGGTACCAGGAATTGAACGTAGGGGCACTCAACCACTGAGCCACATCCTCAACCCTATGTTTTATATTTTATTTAGAGACAGGGTCTCACTGAATTGCTTAGTGCTTTGCTTTTGCTGAGGCTGGCTTTGAACTCACAATCCTCCTGTCTCCGCCTCCCAAGCCTCTAGGATTAGGTGTGCACCATCGTACTCAGCATGGTTTCTGTAATTTTGAATCTGGGATTTTTCGTATTTAAGGAAAGAAGGCTCTTGAAGACATGGTTTTTCAAAATGTGGGTGCAGAACCTTTGGTTGCTTTTTAAATATTTGGTTCCCCACTCTCTGTAGAGTGCATAATAGATTCTTAGAAGAACAGGGAGGGGCTGTTTACCAGAGATACCCAAAATGATTACAGGTGACACAATACACAGTGGCACTGGATAATGTCAGAGCTTGTGTTTCAAAAGTATTCCCATTTTTTAATTTTCCTTTAGCCCTTATGATTGTGCCGGAGGTTCTTGGGCCACGTCATGTGTCTTGTGCCCTTCTCTGGGACTCGGCAACCTCCTGTGTTTAAGGAGGGAGCAGGAGCAGGCCTCAAATGTGGTGCCTGTGCTAGGGACATGGTCTAGTTAGGATTTTGTAACATTATTTGTTTGCATTTAAGTTGATCATTGAATGATACTGTGCTTATGGTAAATGATGTGACTACAGTTTCCTTTTTAAACACAGTGACATTTAAAAAATGGCTTGGTGGTGCCCACCTGAAATCCCAGCTTTGTAGGAGGCTGAGGCAGGAGGATTCCAAGTTTGAGGTCAGCCTGGGCAACGTAATGAGACCCTGTCTCAAAATAAAATAAAAAGGGCTGGGGAAGTAGCTTAGAGATAGAATGTTCCTGGGTTCCATCCCCGGTAACAACACACACACACACACACACACCCATGCACCCACATACAAAGTGACTGGATTTAAGAAAAACAGTACGCAAAGAATAATAGGGCCCCGATTATGGTCCCATCTGCGAAAGTGGTTCAAGAGAGTTGGGTTAGAGCCCAGTGCCAGGTGCTACTTGAAAAGGAGCTGGTTCCAAAGCCATTCCCATTTCAGGAGAAATCTCCATGTGAGGAGGGCGATCCAGGCTCATAGGGGCAAGCTGGCCTTCAGCTACCATTGAGAGTGTCAGGAAGGAAAGCTAATAAGGGCTCGGGAAAGAACTCCCCAGCAAGAGGACAAGAGGAAGGTGTAGGGCAGAGGAGCAGCACAGCCCAGGGTGGGCAGGGGAGTCCCCCCAACTCAGCAGAGCCCAGGGTGGGCAGGGAAGTCCCCCCAACTGTGGATATGGCTTCGTGGGAAGTGAAGGGTGGGTGCTGGGCTCCTCAGTGCCGATGGGCACCCCCAGGCACATGCATTCTGCAGTGAGGTCCGTCCCCTCCTGGGACCCGCCTTCCAGCTCAGCTCACCACCTGCAGAGCCACAGAGAGGCTCTGAGCATTTTCATTTTACAGTTTTAAAGAAAGATTMATAGAAAGAATATCCGCGTGTGAAGAATAATGAAAATGACCGAGGTGAGGGCACGGGAAGCAGGTAAAAAAATGGTACTTATCTTGGGTCTGCACACAGAGAAGTCKGGCTGTTTGATCCGCAGAAGCCTGGAAAGATTTCCACGAGACACTGGCTGGAAAAATCTCTGACATTTCCAGTATCGATTTTTTCTTTTCCTTCTGTCTGTTTTGAATTGTGCCCGGAAGGAAAATTAAGGCTTCCAAGTGGAACTCTATATCCTAGCACCAGCTCCGGAGGATAATTGGTCCCTTATAACTTTTGAAACTGATGATGTGAAACGTTCTGCATTATTATTATTATTTTTTTTAATTTCCTAGCTGGGTACCTTGGTGCTTCAGGCATGAGGGGYGGGCCTGGGTGACACAGAACACTGTCTGCCATCAGCAGGCTGCGTTGTTTGTTAAAGGCCTCTCTTCTGCCCCAGAAAGTTCCATCCCTTTTGTTGAAACTAGAGTTTTGTTGGTACAGAAACTTGTGTAGAGTCTGAGTGAGCTAGTTCTAGGAAGAAGGGAAATTTAGTCACCCATTTGCCAGTAGGTCATAGGTGCCATGTAGTGTGTGGTATGTGTGTGTGTGTGTGTGTGTGTGTGTGTGTGCCTATGTGTGCATATATAACACATACACAAACATATAGTATTTTTGTCAATTTGCTTCTCACATCTGCAAGAGTCCCAGGAAGCCAATTTCCCCTAGCTCATCATCACCAAAGAATATTAAGGACATATGGCACCTGGCATGGAGCTAAAGGAGGAGACCCCTAGGAAGCATCCTGGTGACCATGGAGTTAAAATTGGAGACAGCACAGGGGTAAAGATGCATCTTTATGTGTAACGCACAGCACAGCCTGAATTGAAGAGCAGGTTGGGTGGCAAAGATGTAAAAACAGGTCCAGCATAACCCTCGCTACAAAGCCTCCCTGTTCACGGAGGAGGAGGAGGCGAGCAGTACAGGCAGGATCTAATCAGGGAGCTAGAAATACTGAATTCTACCTCAGAGGACACAGCCGCCTCC